TTCATAAATCAAACACACAAACATTGCTTAAATATTTCATTGCCTATTCTGAAACACAATTCCACCACAAAGTTAAACCATTAGAACTAATAATCGGTGAATTTGTTTCTATGCATACTTTCTTTAGTACCATGGTATACTTTTTCAACGCTTTTGTGTTTCCACCCCTCAACAAAATGAGGTTGTGGAGCGTAAGCATAGACATATTCTTCAAACTGCATGGGCTTTTCATTTTCAGTCACATATCCCTTTGCAATTTGGGATGAATGCATTCTTACATCTATTTACTTGATTAACCGCATCCCTACCCCTCTCTTATTGGGCCTCACGCCTTATGAGAAATTGTTTGGCCACCCTCCTTCATATACACATTTACGCACTTTTGGATGTTTAGCATATACAACTAATCTTCACCCACAACATAAGTTTGATGTTCGGGCTAAGCAATGTGTTTTCATAAGGTATCATTTTGGGCAAAAAACTTACAAATTATATGATTTTAATTCCAAAATAATTTTTACAAGTCGAGATGTCACATTTCATGAAAATATTCTCCCATTCCACAAAAATAACCCAAATATTGGCCCAACACCAGACCCAATAACTTCTCTACCACCACCCATTCAAACTAACCCACCAACAGAAACCCACATAGCCACCCGGGCCTAGCAACAGTCCAAAATTTACCCAACCCATTGTCCCCGCATTAGCCCAGCAGCAACCCACCTCTCCCACTGATGGGCTTGACCACGTCTCAGCCCTTCCTGATGGGCCTGCTGCATCTCTGGACCCGTGCTCCAACACCTTGGCCACATTCCAGTCGCATTCAAGTCCCGTCTGCAGAGCTCCACGATTATGTTTGCCTGACCATTACGTTGCTCCTAGCTGATCCTCGATTTCTGGTCCTAGTACAAGGTATCCTCTTTCTAAGTACTTGTCCTACCAAGGACTCTCCTCTACATATCAATCCTTCATTGCACAACTGTCTTCTGATTTGGAACCTAACAGTTATGCAGAAGCCGAAAAAAATCCTAAGTGGACACTTTCTCCTCTTTCCCCGGGAAAGTACCAATTGGATGTCGATGGGTTTATAAGATCAAAATAAAATCTGATCGGAGTATCGACAGTTATAAAGCTCGTTTGGTTGCTAAGGGTTACACTCAATTGGAAGGTATCGACTATCATGACACATTTTCTCCATTGGCCAAACTTGTCACTTTCCACTGCTTACTTGCTCTTGATGTTGCTCACTCATGGTCCCTACATCAACTCAATGTCCATAATGCATTCCTTCATGGTGATCTCATGGAAGAAATTTACATGCTTCCACCACCCGATCTTCGGCAACATGGGAAGAATTTGGTGTATCGCCTTAATAAGTCGCTTGATGGGTTGAAGAAAGCTTCTCAGCAATGGTTTTTCAAGTTCTCAAAAGCTATTCGGTCCACTTGTTATGTTCAATCCAAAGCAGAGCACTCACTTTTTACTACAAGAAGAGGAAAGTCATTTACTGTGCTTTTCATTTATGTTGATGATATACAGATAACAGGGAATGACTTGACAACAATTAATGATCTCAAATCATTTTTGAGTACCAAGTTTTGTATCAAAGATCTTGGTAATTTGAAATATTTTCTAGGGATCGAGATGACATGCTTGAAACAAGGTATTTTCATTTCACAAAGAAAGTATCTGTTGGATATCCATGGGATCATTGTGTGCAAGTTTTTCTATGGAACAAAATCTAAAATTGCTTCCTGATGATGAGAAGATTGGTTGGTTGGTTGATATATCTCACTATAACCCGATCAGATATTACATATTCAGTTCATTTATTATGTAGAGTCATGCAGTCACCTCAAAAGTCTCATTATGAAGCTGCCTTTCACATTTTGAAGTATTTGAAAGGCACACCGGAGCAAGGTATGATGTTCTCATCTCAAATTCATTAAAGTTAAAGGCATATTGTGATTTCGATTGGGTAGGATGTTCAACCACTATGTGTTCAACTACTGGTTATTGTGTTTTCCTTGGAAATAGCCTTATTTCATGGAAAAGCAAACGACAAAAAAACGTATCCTTATCTTCTGTTGAAGTCGAATATAGGTCCATGGCAGCAGCATGTTGCGAGCTTGCATGGCTCCAAAATCTTTTTCGAGATCTTCAAATTTAGGACCAAGGGCCAGCTACCTTATTTTGCGACAATCAAGCCGCCCACCATATTGCGGCAAACCTGATGTTTCACGAACGAACAAGGCGTATCGAGATTGATTGTCATCTTGTTTGAGATAAGATTATGGAAGGAAAATTTGTGATAGGATTTGTTCCACCCATATCACAACTTGCTTATTTGTTCACTAAAGCTCTTGGGAAGGAAAGATTTCATACTTTGTTAGGCAAGTTGGGAGTTCGCAACATTCACTCACCAACTTGAGGGGAAGTGTTGAGAAAGTCAAGGATCATCACAAGGAATTTTATATCTTTACTTCCTTCTTAGCAAATAAATTTTTTTTTTCCACAAGGTATTGTGATGTCTTTCTATGGGATCATAGGTCCTTTTATTAGCCCCTATTTATGGTGCACAATTTTGTGTAATGTAGGTAGTGGTTATGACCGATTCGATATAAAAGAGGGCATAGTGTGTATTTTTCGTTGTGTCTGATTCCTTATGAAAGACATTCAGTCCATAAGAATAGAAATTAAATAGGGTAATTATGCTCGTCGTGTCCTTTATATGGAAATAAAAGGACAATGAGCCGTTCTCTTGACTCGTACTGATGATAATTTTACTCCACGAGAGATTGAGCAAAAAGCTGCTAAATTGGCCTATTTCTTGTGTGTACCAATTGAAGTATTTTGAAAAAAAGAATTGAAGGATGAATATACTTACCCCAATATTAATAATTAATCAACGATATCAAGGACAAATATATTGTAATTGGTTACATTCCTATCTTGTATTATACGCTGTCAATTAGTAGCAAGTTAGTAGGAATTGATTGTAAAGATGTAGTTACTTATGGTAGTATATTGTAAGGAGAATTTATTCAACGAGAATAGTGAATCACAACCTTCCAAAATTCACAGCCGCCGGTAATGAGTGTTTGGGTTTAGCGTTTGGTGAAACTTAAGAAACACTTTTAGATTTAAAAATAAAGGTAAAACAGTAAATTTATTGACACAAGAAATCACGAGTTCTACGGATATGAACACAACTAGCAATTATAAAGTACTTTTCTTTTTATGTAAATATTTTTCCTCACATTTCCTTACTGTTGTCTGTAAATGGTGAGACAAGAAAACCTTCCAGGTTGGGGCCTTTGAAGATATCTCAATGGCATCCCCATTTTGAATAGAATAGAAGACGTGAAAACCGTCGATATTTACGACATCTTTACAAAACCATGTAACATCCATGGACGGATGTGATTTGATTAATCCATGCATCAAACTTGAAAAATCTTTATTTAGTAAATAATTGAAAAATCTTACAAAATTGGTAAAATGTCCAAATCCTTGCTCTCTTCTTACTTCTGATTTTTCGCACTCATTGAATTTTATTTTTTCAGTTGAAAGAAGTAATATTTTCTTATTTTCCCAATTTTTATTTACAAAGATGAATTGGAAAACAAAAATAAGGCAGACCCACAAAGTGTTCAAACGAAAGTTATCGACTTTGGCATTAAAACGTTAGTTACAGTTTGTTTGTACCATGTAAATTGCCCTCTAAATATCCATGTTACCAAATGATTCAAACCCACACCTAAACTAAAACCAAACCGACCCAAACTTGGATCAGCTCAAATTGACGGCACATTATATTGATGAGGACTGGAAACTACAAAAGAAAATTCTGAATTTTGTCACACTGTTGGAAATTATATATTATAATTAATATTATAATATTTAATTTTTGTATGAATGAAAAATAAGAGTCATGTGTCATGGTTGAATTCAAATTCATTAGTTGTATCTGTTCGTTGGAACTTTAGACAACAATTATACTGTTTCAAAAAGGGTGGCTTGAGTTCTATATAAACTCAAGCATCCCACCTATCTAATAGAATTAAGAGAAGAGTTTTCTCCAATGTCTTAGTAAAAATCTGAGTCATGTTTTGAGAGTACGGAATATATGAAGTTCGCCAGAGTCCGATGATTGAAGTGCTTTGACTTCGGATTATAGATTGTTGAATCCTGGAAGACGGACGCCTACCGAACTACAAGCACAAGAGTAGAGGCGAAATTCTGTCTTTAGGACATTGCATTTATGCAAGCCTTAATCTCCAAGTTTGTCAGTTTTTCTAACTTTCTCTCTAATTGTTTATATTAATCTCATACATAAATTGATGTTGTGAATTTCTTTATGATTATTATTAATGGAATTCTTGTGTTATTTTCATATTTTCTAATATTGCTCTAACCCACACTTGATTCTACTCATACGGAGGACTTGCTTTCAGAAGTAGTTATCAAATGCCTGATGGACTGGGACATTGACAGTAAGTTGTTTGCCTTGACATTTGATGATTGTTCCACCGATGATGACATTGTTCTAAGAATCAAAGACCAGATCTCCCAAAACAGGCCTCTCTTGGTCCATGGTTGGTTATTTGATATTCGCTCTGCTGCACATCTTCTAAATTCAGTTGTGCAGGATGTTTTGGAAGCAATGAGAGAGGTGATACAAAATATTCGGGGAAGTTTCAAACACTTAAGAAGTTCACAAGTGAAACAAGGGAAGTTCAATGAAATTGTTCAGCATGTTGGAATCAACGTATCTTATGTTTGAAACAGCCATGGAATACAAAGGTGCATTTTCTCTCCTACCAGAGCATAACGCTTCATATACATCAGCTTTAACAGACAGAATGGGAATGGACGAGGTTTGTTACAGTTTATTTGAAATTTCTTGTTGAAATCACTAATGTTTCGGGCAACAAGTGTCCAACTGCAAGTATATATTTTCCTGAGACATTAGTGATTTCAAATGTATCAAATCCCTAATAACTTTGCCATTTTCTTCCTTTTTTATTGTCTTGGTGGCCTGGATGCGGATTGACTGGATGGATATCATCAAGAGCTGCATCTGAATCATTCGATGGCCCTTCAAGTGTCCCAGCGCCCCCTCTCAAAACAGACTGGAAAACTTCATTCACTATTGGATCCCTCTCATTACTTGATGAGGGATTGGGGTCTAAGACGAACTCTTGAACAGCAGCCTCACCTTCAAGCATGCTCATAACTTCAGACATGGTAGGCCTAAACTTTGAAGTTGAATTACAGCAGTGGAGAGCCACATTGATTGTAGCTATCATTTCTTCATTGTTGAATTCTGAGCCCAACCTTGGATCCACTAAGTTCATCAAATTCCCTTTCGATTTGAGATCATGCGCCTATAAACATGAAAAGAACAAAAGTAAAATAACTTACGTATCTTGAAAAATAACGTGAACTTTCAGCGAAGAAGAATGCAAAAAAAAAGCCTTCTATCTAGTGGTAAACAACATCAACAAAATTCAAATTAGAGTTCAATTAGGAAGTTACCCAATGAAGAATATAGAATCCTTTTTTATCTGATTTCTTCTTCCCACTAATAATCTCTAGTAGAACAATTCCAAAGCTGTAAACATCTGCTTTATTAGTAAGATGACCCAGATTTGCATATTCTGGTGCAATGTAGCCACTGCAAAATCATGAAATCATCACATCAATACAATACTTATAGACATATGCTGTAATATAACTATATTGGAAGGACAAATATAAGAAGAGAAGTAAAAATAGGGACTCACGGAGTTCCAACAGGATTGGTGCTTATATGTGTTTTATCCTCTTCGGCAAGTTTAGCCAATCCAAAGTCCGATATCTTCGGGTTAAGATGTTTATCAAGCAATACGTTCGAAGCCTTGATATCTCTATGAATAACCCTCAAGCTTGATCCATCATGAAGGTAAGCCAAACCTTTTGCTATACCAACACATATCTTACGCCTCGTTGCCCAATCCAAATCCAACTGACTTTCTTCTGCCCCCTCAGTTTGTCAAGTTAATCAAAATTAGTCATAATTTTGTGCATAAAATCTTTTGTACCATACGCATGGACCAAATGAAAAGTAGGTGTACAAAAGTGATACTTACCAAACAAAGCATGATAAACGCTATTGTTTTCCATGTACTCGTAGACAAGGAATAACTGATTTTCTTCAATACAATATCCGTATAGGTATACAAGATTAGGGTGTTGCAAAACATGTAGCATCTCTATCTCATTAAAAAATTCATGCTCTCCTTGGTTTGATTCGGGAGAAAGCTGCTTAACAGCAATCTGTGTTCTATCAGCAAGAATGCCCTGCATTTGACTAAGATAGTTAAAACAAATATCTTCTCTATGGAGAAATTAATCATAATTAGGACTGCTATTATTAATCAATTTAGAAAATTAATTATTTGTTCCGAAGAATACCTTATAAACAGTACCGAAACTACCTTTACCAATCTTATTGGCTTGGTGAAAGTTGGCTGTGGCATCTTTAAGTTCCGTAAAGGTAAACTTACGAGTTTGTAGTTCCACACCTTTCAAATCTGCATGACAAGTAAAACTCATAAGAAATGGTTGTGTCTAAGAAAAATTTCAGAACAATATCATTGTTTTTTCTTAAATCCCATTACAGTTTGAAGGCCTAGAATTTAACAACTACCTGGACCTATAGGCAGACATACTTTGCATCATGAGTTTAAAACATATAATGTACCCTCGGAGATTGAAACATCCCACATCACCCAGGGGTGTGATCCTTATATGTATATTTCCATCCCTACCTAGCATGAGGCTTTTTGAGAGCTTACTGGCTTCGGGTTCCGTTGGAACTCCGAAGTTAAGCGAGTAGCACGCGAGAGCACTTCCAAAATGGGTGACCCATTAGGAAATTCTCGTGTGAGTTTCCAGAAATAAAACCGTGAGGGCGTAGTCGGGGCCCAAAGCGGACAATATCGTGCTACGGTGGTGGAGCAGACCCGGAAAGTAATCCGCCCCGGGCCGAGATGTGACAATTTAGTATCAGAGCCTAACCATGGTCGTGGTGTGCCGACAAGGACGTCGGGCCCCTAAGGGGGGGTGGATTGTGACATCCCACATCACCTAGGGGTGTGATCCTTATATGTATATTCTCATCCCTACCTAGCACGAGGCCTTTTGGGAGCTCACTGGCTTCGGGTTCCGTTGGAACTCCGAAGTTAAGCGAGTAGCCTGCGAGAGCACTCCCAGGATGGGTGACCGATTGGGAAGTTCTCGTCTGAGTTCCTAGAAACAAAACTGTGAGGGCGTAGTCGGGGCCCAAAACGGACAATATCATGCTACGGTGGTGGAGCGGGCTTGGAAAATAATCCGCCCCGGGGCGGGATGTGACACAATATCTTAACAACTATTGTCTTAAGAGTGTGCACTTAAATATGCATGAGAAGTCAGAAAAGAGGATAAACGTTCTTCTTAGCAATAGAACAATGAAAAGAATATGCAATATAACGGAGAAACAAAAAATACCATCCTCCAATGTTTTCTGTAGTCCTACGAGGCATCTCTTGATCCAAAGAATAACCAGCACTGTTAATATGATGGCAACTGCTACGCACCCCCCAACTTTAACTATTGTGCTTATAGGCAGACAACTCCTACCATGCGGTATGGTGCTTACACTTTCTGTTGGAGAATCAAAGTCTGCCAATATAAAGTATAATTTTATTAGAATAAATGTAAATCTAATAGATGAGAGATTACTTGCAGATATTCTACAACATAGGCAAAACGTACTTGGTGTCACACTAATCGCAGATATAAGAGGCCCATAGACACCTCTATAAGGAATGGCAGTCGTTCCTTTTCCTGCCCAATATAAGTGGATCTCCAGTGTGCTACCAAGAACAGTAACATTGTCGAACTCTTTGACAATTCCCTTACCAACACCTCCTGCTTCATCCATAATATTAAAGTCTTTCTGGACCAAAATCCCCTGCACAACAATTTCAATATGTAACAACATTAATTCTAGTTTCATATTTCAATTCCACTCGAGAAAAGTCATACAATAGGGTACCAACTGCAGCTAAACCTATTGCGACATACAACTTCCTAAAAATGAGTATAATATACTAATACACATGAGACTAGCTAAATACTGCCTTCCGTTTCCCTCCCAAAAATAAAATAAAAGAAAATTAGGTGGTAATAAGATCAAATTAACGAACTTCTGTTCAAATGATGACTGAAAGCCTACATGAAGTGTATCAGGCAAAGAAGGAAAACTAGGCAGCACTGACTTGAGGCTTAAACAATCAGATGAGAGAACTTAAATAAACAGGTTTATATCTGAAAGTTCTACATATCTTTTAAAACTTCGTATAAAATAACACCCAAATAAAGCAGCTAGACGACATATATATAACCTTCCAAATATGTGTCGTGCTCTAATCATACCAAAAGAAAAATCATGTACAGTTTTAAGACATAAAGTGTGATCTATAATGGAACGCGCTAAACAAACTAAATGCTGCCCATTGAAGTTATTGTGGTCTTTGACAAAAAAGGGGTAAATAAACCAGCAAAGAATCACAAATAGTAAATGAAATTCACTTGTACTCACTTGAATTGAGATGTCAAATAAGCGTTTTCCGAGACTGCTAAATGTCTGGTCATTTGTGAACATTATTTCGGAAAAGTAGAGCCGCACTTTGTATCTGCCTTTTAGCATGCAAAGGGCATAATACTTGAGTGATACAGGGGCAATGCGCGCTGTTTGATAAAAATCTGGACCGGTGATATTTAAAGATAACACATTTGTTGCAATGTAATTTGCATTAGGCTTGTGCATGTACAGCCCCGTGCTGCTAGAGCCCCACTTTTGAGACGACGAAAAAAAGCTTGATGGTCCGAGAGTGCTTAAGTCCTCTTCATATGTATGACCATCAAATTTCGTCTTCCTCCCTCCACAATTGATAAATATAGAATGGTCTACATGCGTGACAAGAATATTATTAGAAATGTATACTCTTCAATTCATATGTATGACACCTATAACGACAATAAACTCATTAGTTTTTGCATGTTTGTTAGACCCCATTCGAACATTGACTCAGAGTTCTCAAAGTATCAATTCGATTAACAACGTGCAACATCCAACAAAAGTATAAAAAAAACGTTGAACTACACAACCAACCAATCTACTAAGATAGACGAAAGAAAAAATTAAATGAACTTAAACTCACATTTAGGCTTTGAGGAGCAAGGAAGGCCCTTCTTCAAGCACCACCTACTCATTGAAAGAATTAAGGCTCAGTCATACATTTGTCTTATGATGTTTGATAAATACAGAATTACAAGTTTTGGTGAACTTACGAATTTTCTAGAGACGAATGACTAGAAACTAGATTCCTGTAATAATAAAGGGAATTAACAAATAATATCCGACGGAGAAAGAGCATAAAAAGAGGTTTCACTACAAAAAAAAAAAAAGAAAAAGGCCTTTGGGCACAAAATTATGAACACAAATGAGGAATTTGTGTGTCTTTCAACACAAAAAGATTAACACAGTGCCCGTTCAATCAAGGACACTACATATTGTGCCCAATATAAAAAAAGTGGACACAAACACATTTTGTGACAACTTTGTTTAAAAAAGTGGACTCAAATATATTATTGTGCCTGTATTTTACATCTAAGGACACAATTATTTATTCTTTATTATTTTCCATAAACTTATGGTCCACACCCGACTTCCTCTCTCCCCTTAACCCCACCCACACCATACACCCCTCTTTTACCCCTGTCGTCTCTCTGCCTCCCTCAGACTCTATCTCCAACCCCTTTCTCTCTCTACCTTCCCCAGATTCGGTCCATCCTCTCTCGTTCTCGATCTCTCTCATATCTACCTCCCTCAGACTCCTTTCTCTTGCCTCCATCTCTCTCTCTCTCTCTCTCTCTCTCGCTCTCCAAGACTCCAACCCCCTTTCTATCTCTACCTTCGCCAGATTCGGTCGTTCTCTCTTCCTTTCCTGATCTCTCTCAGATCTGGGCTTTTTGGCCTGACACCTCCACGATCCGAGTTTTCTACTAGTGACGAGGTTCCTGTGACCGTGCAGGCATCAGCGGCGCTGGACAAAGAAGAGGAAAGGCTGTGCAAATCCGCAGGAACTTTGCTTGTGGTTTGCTTTTGTGGGTTTGATTTTTGTGTAATTTTTTAACAAATTTTGATTTTTTTGTATTTTATCTCGCAGAAAACTCAACTTCTCCTCAGTGCGTTTGGTAAGTGATTCAGCTTTTTCCTACTTATTATTTGGTTTTAGGGATGCATCTCTACATTTTTATCTAATCTTACTACTGAGATGAAACCCTGACGATTTCGTTTTGATGTCAGTTGTGGTGCTTTGTTGGGGCTTTCCCGGCTAATAGAGTATAAATTTCCCAGAAACTCGACGAACTCAGAGAAAGCAGTTGGAGCAGCTGTGACTTCTATTTTTTTTCTCTCTAGAAAATGGTATGAACTCTGATCACTCTGTCTCGATCAAATCTTACAAAGTTTTCAGCTTTTCCCGATTTTAATTTATAGGTTACACTGTTCTTTGATAACTTCCTCATCTGGGCAATCTCCAATTTTCGTTTGTATTTTCATCTGGGAGGAGTTCTTGAATGCTAATTAATCAATGCTAGTAGATTGTTAATTATTAACTTGATGTTTAAGCATGGACATTTGTGAATTTCCAGGTTTACAGTTTTGTAGATTTCGTTTTGCTGTCAGTTGTGCTTTGTTGGGGCTTTCCCAGCTAAAAGAGTACTTTGCGTTTTGGTTGCTCAATTAATAAATCTGAGATTTGCTAGCACCTGTGATATTGCTGTTATACTTTGGGTACGTTTTCTGTCCTGCTTTTTTCCAGTTTGCAGATGCATTGATAATTGTTGGATTAAAATGGATTTGTATTTTTTGGGAAGAAATGAGAAGAAGAAGAAATTGAAAGGATAAAGCTTCATACTTTGGTGTATAATTAATTGAAGAAAGAGAAAATTACTTGGTAAAGATTTGAGCTTTAGCTATTGCATGCATATTCAGCTTTCCTTTGCATTTGACTAAGTTGGAAACTGAGTGGAAAATGTTGAGAGAGAGAGAGAGAGAATTGTGTCGGGGTTTTGGTAAAGATTTGAACTTTGGTGGTAAGCTAGCTGCTTTAAACTCGCACAGGAAAACCCAGCAGCATGTAGATAAGTAGACTGAATTGGCCTTTTGAATAAGTTTGAAATGAGTTCGAAATTGAGTAGAAAAATGTTAGATAGAGAAACAGAGAATGTGATTTGATAATTGGTAATATGATCAATCCTTGGTGACATATATTTTATCAAATTAGATTAGAATTTATTTGGTTAAATTAGATTAAAATTTGATCATATAAAATAAAACAATTTATAAATATTGGAAATAGGCATTAAAAAGTTTAAGTCTCACATTACATGGATTAGAATGACTTTTCTAGATGCTTAAATCCTTTTTGCTGAAGAGTGTTTTGTGTTTCTACTGCCGATAACCAAATGTTGTAACGTATACCTTAATATATGTTATGACGAGGATGTGTACATCTTCCGTCCTCTTCAGTTCAATACTCTGCCAGTTGTGAAAACAGCAACCGAGCCACTAAATCCATGTATGCGGACAAAGATGGTGGAAGGACTAAGAAAGATAAGCAAGAGTTATACTCTTGCAATCACTAAAGTTGAGGAGTCTGGGGAGCACACGATATTAGGGACAGGAGAACTCTACTTGGATTCAATAATGAAGGACCTAAGAGAGCTTTATTTGGAAGTAGAAGTCAAGGTAATTGTTTGCTCCCAATCCTCATCCTCTCTTCACGTTATTTGTTTTTAAAGTAACTTTTCTACCCCTTAAGAATGTAAATTTAGGGTTTTTGAAATTTAATTTTCGAATTCTAGATTAGGGTTTCTAAATTTAGGGTTTGTGAAATTTAATTTTCAAATTCTTGAAATTTTGGTTTCACGGATTCTATTTAATTGATCTAATGGTTCTTGGGTTTTTGCTTATTGGACCATCTTTGACTATTGAGGTTCAAAGTATTTGTGAAGGTTTTGGTTCAGTGCAGTAGGAATAAGGCAGAAGCTAGTTGAGAGAATATCTGGCATTTTGTATAAGATTTGTGAAGTAAGATTCTTCCCTTTTTTGTTCTGCTTCAAAGTTTTAATTTTGTGAGAGGTTCAAATATTGCACATGTTATCTTCATTAATTCGTTTCTGTAGCAGCAGAGGTTTGATGAAGTGCAAGGCTTGTTGAGGAAGATGCATCTGTCCGAAAATGTTTGTTTTCAAGTCTTTTTGTATTAGAGATAAAATATGTAACATTATAATATATGTTTGTGAGATTGGGAAAGTGAAAGTTGGTTTCATGGTTGTAGGCTGTTTTCCTTTTATGAAAATTTAAATTTTTGCATTTCCTCAATTCAGTTTCAATTTTTTAAATTTGATTTTTTTTTATATTTAATTCTTGTTGGTACAATTATATTATAAGTGTTAATAGGGTCGGAAAAGGTATTCTGATAAAGTTGCCAGAAACAGGCGCAAATAGTGATCCATATGGGCACATATGCCGGTGCTCTTTGGCCTCAAAGGGCACAGATAATTTATTGTGTGCAGTGCTTATATTTTTTGTAGTGTTTGGATATTGATAGACTTACAGAGTCAAATGTTGGCAGCTGACGGAAGGTGATCCCGTAAAATTGTTGTATGACAAGTCCCTGCAGCAGATTTTGTGTCGCATTGATGACAACTCTAAATTCATATAATTGAGAAACAGAAAAGTGAAATTGAAATCGAAGTTTGCCAGCATTTTGTGTTAAAGAAACAAACACAAATAAAGCAAAACTTCATAGATTAGTGTTAGAGTATAGACTGACTGGTCACGTTTGCTTTGCAATATCCCAATTGGTACTTCTCCGGTCAATATGTTGTTGCTCAAACACCTGCACACGTAAAAATTAACGGTCAATGAAATGTAAATAAGGCTAACTTGAGAAATATTTAAAACTAATGTGTACTGTTTGCACCAATAAATGAATGTTTCATTTGACCGACTTACAGGAAAGATAGATGGTGAGCACGTTCAATCGTCTGTGGAATTTCTCCTGTTAACTTGTTAAAACTCAAGTCCCTACAATAAAGGAAAGAAACATTATACTAACATACATCAGAGGTTTGTTTTGAACTTTTGAAGGTTTATTGAATCCAAAAACTCAAATTCTTGTTCATTTTGGCAATAGTACATGTGTACATCTATACAATTATGTTGATTAGAAAAGCACTCACAATATTAATAGCTTTGTCAGCTTGCCAAGGTAATTTGGGATTGTACCACTAATTGAGCAATTTCTCAAAATCCTGTGTCACAGGAATACGAACAAAAATTAGAATAATTGCGTCAGGGATTACGCTGAAGTACAATTTCAATACGTTTATGTGATATGGAACTCACACTATCTGGATATTTTTCATATATTTCAAAGTAGGAAAAGGCATACTTGGTCCATCCAAATCAGATATCATCCTGATACATGACAGATCAGAAATATTTATTTGTTATATAGTTGAAGAATTGGAATACATAATGATCAGAAGATAGAGGAGCAATGGTCTCACAATTCCTTTAAGTCTTTCAATGAAGATATGGTGTAAGGAATAGGGCCTTCCATGGATGTACCTTGCAGATCACTGCAGTAAATTTAAGTTAACTTTTCAGCCGAAAAGTGATAGGATACAAGTATATTGAAGGGAAAGGAAATGCAGGAATGAAAAGAAAATGCAGAGAAAGGAAACACAAAAAAGAAATCATTTCATTTAATCACTATCCTCTTTCCTGATGGCTCAATGCCCTTACAAGGCTAGAAAGTAACTAAAAGTAACTAAGAAGCTTCTTAGTACCAGATTAGCAGTAAACCTAACCACAACATGATCCCTATAGCAATATTCTTAGTCTTTTCATTAAAAACAATGTCATTGTATACATATATTTGATTGAAACGGCATATGACAGCAAACTTGTTCCATGTAAGTTCTCTCCTAAAAGAGATGTATATATACAAGGACATTAGTTTTAAGGAAGATTTTAGAAGACTGTTGAATAACTCGGTACAATATATCTAAAGATGATCCTAAAAGAAACGTTCACAGTCAAAGATGGGAAATAAAGAGTAAAAGATGGGAGATGACTACAATGAAGAGCAACACTCACAGTTTTTGAAGTTTACTCCAGTTTCCAATAAATTCAGGTATCTTTCCTGATAATTGGCTCCCACCTATCCTACTGCAGGCATTAAAAGAAGATGAGAAATTCTTTGTGTAAAAATTATGCACGTGCGTATAATCAAGCCATTTTGCATCACTTACAAATCAATTAAGTTCTTTAGATATCCGTACGACTCTGGTATTGTACCAGTAAAATCGTTCGCAGAAAGAAGGCTGTTAAAAGTAAAAGTCAGTTATGAAAGATAATCCAATGAATTTGTGAAATATTTTTACATTACATGTTACAAAATTAGTTTAATCACTATAGAGCACTTGCGGTGAGAAGTCATACAAAATACCAAAAGTTTCATGAAATTTGGATTTTGAAAAAGTTTGGCAAAAATAGGAAATGAGAATGCAATCTTACAGTCTTTCCAAGTGAGTCAACCTCCCAAGGTTTTGCGGAAGAGGCCCTTCAAATTGATTATCTTCCAACACCCTGGAAAAAATGTATTTGCCAATAAAGGTTATGCATGTTCCTTCTTTCTTTTAATTATCAATAAGTAAATAACATTAATACAAAACTTACAGCTCTCTGAGCAATGTAAAGTCACCAGCAGGAATTGAACCGCTGAGTCGATTCCCTAAAAGATACCTACAACACACTAACAACAATTACATGACATGCCTAACATATATTACAAGTACCCACGCCGCTATTATTTAAGGTCCACAGAATCACTTACAGAGAACGAATGGGACACCGAGAAAGGCTGGCAGGGATTGATCCACTAATGTAGTTGTGAGTGAGATCACTATTTAATGTGAACAAGCGTTAGAAATTCATCTCGATAATCCAGTTAATGTGCATAACAAATTCAAACCAACAACGTAATCACTTACATTTCTTCCAAATGAGTAAGGTCCCCAAATTCCTCAGGTATAACTCCGGTTAAATTCAGACCCTTCAGCTTGCTGTGATACCGAAATTCAAGCAACAGTTAAAACTTATTAATCAGTTGTACTTAAAACAATAAAATTTGAAGCCCATAAAGCCTTACATGATTTTGACATGGCAAGTGTTGTTTGCAAAGGAGCACTTGCAAGTGACATTGCTAAAAATGTGGGCAGTGAAGTGTTTGAAGAAGCCTACCCCACCATCTTGGCAAGAAGTTTGGCTGATATTTTTCCAGTGAGGGTTATGTAATTTTCTAGAAATTGTTTCAAGAGTTTTCACTGTCACATAAACAAAAAACAGCTCTTGAAGTTCATCACTTGCCAAAAATCACATGCAATGAAAAAGACATGGTCAATCATACAAGTTCACCCTTCAAAGGCCTAACCGAATGAAAAGAATGCTAAAAATCCTTCACTTGTTACTAACTTTTTTTGATCAGAAAAGCATAAAAGTACATGTTTACACCAATAAGAAATTGCCACATCATTTAATTATAGGAAATATGAAATTACCATATTATGCAATTATTGGTGCCTTGTGAGGCAATCGACATATACTACAAATCAAACAGACGAATCCTTTACTGCCAAATTATGCAATTTGCACTCATATAAATTGTTTAAGAACCATTATGAAAAAGACATTAATTTTTTTTTATTGGTTTAAACATGTACTTTTATGAAAGATAAATGCCCAATTCCAATTTTCATGGACTAGCCGAAAAAGAAAAACAGAAGATTAGGTAATAGATGGGCTGAATATATGGGTTAACTAAGAGATGGGCTGGACGGGACTTAATCTCGCCCATTAGAGTGCAACCCAAAGTTTCTCTATCACGGATTCATTAGGGTCCGAATCGGTATGTCGGAGTTTTAGTCTACTCATGTCGACGTGTCGTGTGTGTGTTGGAGATATTCAAATCGGTGGAGAGTCGCCAGCTTTAGGCGACACGGAAGCCGAGAGCCCTAAACTGCAAACCCTAACCCCAAAACTCTAAGTAGTGTCATGTCCATTGCAGTTTTATATAAGGGAAAGGTATCCTCTCCTCCAAATCCACCTAATCAACCCATCCTAGGATCTGAAAATTCTAAAAATAGAAACTGAAACAGAAAAGATACAGATGCATATGAACAAATACAAAAACAAACAAAGAGGAAAATTTCATATTTCTTTGTTTTCCAAGAAAAATTTTCTCAGGAACCAAATAGAGCAGAGCACTTCTCACAACACAAAACCAACTGCAATCATGCTCAAATGACCAACAAAACTCTTCACAAAATCCCAAAATTACCATTCATATTTGCAGTAAAACTTGAGAAATGTAAAAGCGAGAAGGAAAATGATGATTTTATTTTGTGCTAACCTTCTTCCAGAGGCAGAAGTTGAGCACAACTCAAAGCCAGCAACCCCATCAAAAGACCGACAACAATCACAGAACTTGACATTGTCCTCGGATCACTACACAAAAACAAAAACAAAGACAAAGAGTGTGTTGGTAACTTTGTGTGTGAAAGAGTGGTTTTTGTTTTAGATTGTTAATGGCTTTGTCCTGAATGTGTCCTTCGGTTTTTAAAAGCAGCTTCTAACTCGTCAATGACAACTGCAAAACCACTTTTCTAATGACCTGATGATGATGCATGCCTGCATGGCTCCGAATAATATATAGAAATAAGAGAAAAGTGGAAGAAAAGAGGGTTTCCAAAAAAACAGTAGACCAAAAGGGGTTCTAGGCTAGTCAACAATCTTCATGTACGAATGGTTGATATCGGTGCCACGTGGTGCATTCCGAAGGGCCAAATGGAGCAAATATCCTAAAATTTAGCAGATGGAAATTCTGTTCATACATGTTTTTGTATCACATTTTCATATTACCTTAAGTGGTATTTGATGTAGACAGCCACATCATTTGAATTATTCAGATTTTTAAATTTAGTTCGTTATTTAATAAACTAATAATTAAGAAAAAACTAGTTAATTAAATAATGATTGTGGTATACGAGAAGTCTTTCTCTTTCATTTTCTTGGGTTTTTCAAATTTTTCAAATGATGTGGTTGTCCACATCAATTGCCAAGTATAAAAATACGATATAAAAATATAGTATGAATAACATTATATATTTCAGTACTTAATCTCAACAAAAAGTATTCTTTTAATTATAAAACCTACTTGATATATTCTTCTACTGATGTATATCTCAACGTCAAAATCTTACGAGAATACCACTATCTTGCTTGAATACCAGTAGTATTTTGCGGGAATACCACTATCTTGAGGGAATACCACTCTCTTGATTGAATACCAGTAGTATCTTGTGGGAATACCACTATCTTGCTTGATATCTTGAGGGAATACCACTATCTTGATTGAATACCAGTAGTATCTTGCGGGAATACCACTATCTTGCTTGAATACCAGTAGTATCTTGAGGGAATACCACTATCTTGCTTGAATACCAGTAGTATCTTGCGGGAATACCACTATCTTGCTTGATATCTTGAGGGAATACCACTATCTTGCTTGAATACCAGTAGTATCTTGAGGGAATACCACTATCTTGCTTGAATACCAGTAGTATCTTGCGGGAATACCATTATCTTGCTTGATATCTTGAGGGAATACCACTATCTTGCTTGAATACCAGTAGTATCTTGCGGAAATACCACTATCTTGCTTTTTTGGAAACTGAATACCACTATCTTGCTTGTCAAAAGGTACAGCAGATCATTTTAGGAATGAATGCATAATCTTACGCCACGTGGTGAAAGGCCCAAATAGAAACGGGAAACGGGGTGGTCGGGGGAAAATTTTTAGGTGTACCGGGTACACCAAAAAAATTTGGTGTACCCTCACTCATTAGAATTTTTTTGGTGTACAAAAAGTGAGGGTGCACCAAATTTTTTTGGTGCACCCTCACCATTATGAGTGAGGGTACACTGAAAAATTGCTCGTGGTTGGGACCCATAGTGCTTCCGATGAAAAGAAGTGCATATTTTTCAACGGAATCTTCTTTCCAAGGCCAAAAATTCCGAGAAAGATAACAGGAGGAATACTTACCGGTTAGTAGATTAGAAGGGGATTCTTTCCAAGGTCCAATTGATACTATTTGACCGGATGTAAACCTACCGCCGGAGTTGGAGAATAAATTCTACCGTCTCAAATGTTTTTCATTTATACAATGATAAATGGTATATGTGTATGTATTCTGGGTACACTGAAAAATCTTTTCACAGACCATGGCCACTTTATTTGAATCCACTTTAGAGTTTCCTTCTGTGCTTGTTAAAAGACTCAAATTGCTAGCACTGTTAAAGATTCAAGTCGGCATGAACAAATAGAGGCATCGTACCGGCCATCAGGCCACAATTCAAATACCCCATTCAAATTCAGCAAATAGCAAAGGTCAATGCATGTATACAATTTGTGCAATGCGTATGTCTGAAAAAATTATTGGTACGTAACAAACCACTCGTATGTTATATAATTACAATTTGGGTAATGCTATAGAGTGCTTAACAAACTATTGGTACATTATATACTTCCAATTTGAGTACGCTATATAATGTTAATTTCAGTACTTAACAAACTAATGATACGTTATATTTTTCCAACTTGAGTACGATATAAAATGTTTATTTTGGAACGTACTTGTATGTTGGTAAGCTATGAAATAATTATTTTGGTACATACCAATACGTTGGTATGCTATGAAATGTTTATTTTGATGCATACCTTGACTAACTTGTACCAGCCCTTGTAAAAAAGAACTGGAAATAATGAAACATGAATAAACGGAGTGTTGGAAAATAAAAAGAAAAGTATTTTAGGATTTGATTTAATTAGTAATTTTATATGATTTAATTAGGATTTTGATATTATTTGATTTGGTCTAGGTTTCCTTGTCTTGTAGACAAATGATTGTTTCGATTTATTTTCTAGTATTGCTTCTTTGTAATCTTATAATACCTCTTTATGGAGAAGAATAAAGTATTGAAGTTGTTATTTGAGAATTGTGAGACTGTAGAGAATTCTAAATTTACCCTAAATCATTCATTTTTAACTCAGAGGATGTGAACTATACTAGGACTGCTAAGGGACCCAAAAAAATAAAGGAACTTTAACGAAAAACTCCCAGTACTGTTTACTTTAATGAAAAACCACATTTTACATTAAAAAGTAAATCTTGGTACTATTCACTTTACCCTTTATTTTGTCCTTATCGTTAAAACTCAAGATTTTCAAACTCTTTTCTTTAATTTTCCTAAAAAATAATTGTTATAATTTATTTCCTAGTATTACTTCTTGGGTTGAAGGTGGCAGCCAAAACGGAGGATCATAAACCATAATTGACCAAATTTTTATAACGGTCCCACCAGACAGAAAGACATGCTTAATTCTTGGATGCATTTTTGCTCACCCACGTTCACTTGGGTGTATGATCACCACACATCTCCAAAGCTTGCCAAGTGTCCCCTTGCTTTAATCCTGGTTAACATTTTCATTTGTTATTAATATTTTACTATAGTAACACATTAATAATCATCTTAACATTTATCTTTTAACTTTTTAATTAATATTTGTATTTCAACCGTCCATCTCCCCTCTTCCTCCCTCCTCCAACCGTCCATCGCCCATCTTCCTCCCTCCTCCCATCTCTATCCTCTGTCACTTTTCTCCCTTTTCTGTTATTTGGGCGAATATCCCAAATCTAAAATCTCAAATTCTAATACAAATTTAAAGGGGAATGGGTGAATTGATTTGACGGGGCGAAGTCCATCGACATCGTGAGAAAGGAGCACATGTTGCCTCCATTCATCCGAAACAAAGATGCACAGATAAGTGAAGAAAATTTGTACCCAGAAGACTGTTCCAAATTGTGGGTGGTTGCCGTGGGGTGGTGGGAGGAAGCAGATAACAAGTGAGATGAATAAAGGGTCGTCATTGCTGCTTCAAATGCTCGAGCAATTTCCAGTAGAAAATTATACATAAATAAAATTACAATTAGGAGATAATTTCTGTGATTCGAAACGCCATGGATGATTTAGTGGAGAAGGACAATTTCTTTGAAACTGAATAAACGCTTCGGGAAGTGAGTTGCAGACTTGGTTTTTTATTTGTCTATTTTTAGTTTATTTTTATTTCTTTATTAAATTAATAAAGAGTAATTAAATCATAGTTGACCAGGGTTAAGGCAAGGGGACACTTGGCAAGCTTGAAGATGTGTGGTGGGCATACACCCAAGTTAATGTGGGTGAGCAAAATTGCACCCCTTAATTCTTAATGCTTAAATTTTATGCCAGTCCCACCAAACAATAGGTCGAAACCCAATCCGAATTAGGATCTTCCAATAGTTTTTGTGAAGATCTAGAAGATCAATTAATTACATCCGTTCATCGTACATCGTGCGGTTAGTTTTTGTTACATACTGTTTGTGTTCAATTTTTAATAAAAAAAATTAAAATAATTTATGACCGCACAATATATTATGAATAGATACGATTGATTAATCATCTGGATCCTTACAAGACAATTAGGATAGGCACCGGTTAGAGTCACCAAGAAAACAACCCTAGCCCTTAATGCAAGCACTAACCACTAAGTATGCAAGCAGGGCCGCCCCTCAGGGTAGCCCAAGTAGGCGCCCACCAAGGGACCCCACTTCGGAAGGGCCCCCAAAAAAAATTTTATATTCTGTAATTAACATATAAATACAAAAAAAAAAAAAGTAAGAAATATCATAATTCATTTGTTAGTGCAATGGGAATGTTGACTTCATTTTTCTTTGGGGTGTTGAGTTCAAAACATGAAGCTGCCTTTTAGTCACTAGATTTTTCTTGTTTTTCAAATTTACTGCGAATCCATATGTCCAACTCACAATCCATCTGTCCAAATGCATATAAAGTTATAAAACTCAAGTCTCTTTGATTCAATAGCTACAATTATTATAACTTTTAGAGGAACCCCCTGTTTGTAGCAATTGGATCAAATTTTAAGGGTCGTGATCTTCAGATCCCTAGGATTTGGTGGGAGAGATCCGGAGAGGATCCCTTCCCTAAGGATATGTTCCTGCAAAAAAAGGCACACATGTATGCATAATATATCTCTTTTGCAAATAATTTAGGGTTCTGCATTAGATGCATTACTAGGATCAATATATATATGTGAACTAAAATAGAGCATTTGATATGTACACATATGTGTTTAGAACTGTTTTTTAAATGACTGAGAATGCTTTTAAAGAAATTATTCTTAAAACCATTTATTGATAAAAATGCAAGTGAATCCTGAAAAAAACACTTTGAAGTGCTTCCTGCAAAAAGCATATAACTGAGCTTCTTCCAAAATGCACTTCCAGTGCTTTTTATAAAACACTTTCACCAAAAACGATTTCAGTTATTCTAAAATCACTTCCAAACATGCCTAACAAATATATGTGTCAAGTGCATG